CTCATCTAGGTACATTTCCATCGTGTTGGGTCCCAGGGGTAACTTGACTTGTCTAATTGTTTGAGCTTCTGTGGTCACACTTTTCCATCTACACAAGGGTTATTCTACTTTTTACCCATGGACTTTCTCTCCAATATTCCCTTCCCCTCTTTCTTACAGCCTTCATCTTGTTTCTTCTCCTCCTTCTGTTCCCATCTTTGTCCAATGTCTCATTGATGCTGTGTTCATCACCACTTCCAACAATTCTTCACTCCCTTTAAATATCTTACTCACCAGGGAGGAGGTGTTGTTTTCAATTCATTCTCAACTGGGATCAGCTTTATCCCATCTGCCTGTGACCTATGGAACTTATAATCAGCAGGATTCATGCCTATTCTACTCATTCTGCATGAAAGGTTTAGTGTTTGGAGACCATGGCATCATGGTGACTGTTTATTCCTTTGATTGACACACACATATGCACCTTCTCAGTTGGTCCTTGCATGACCAGAGGGACACCTCACATAATCTTTGATCTCAGTTCTCCTGTCCCTTTCTTTATTCTAATATTTGTATGGGTGGCTGGACTGATCCAATATCACCATCTGTATTCCATTACCTCCATCCAACTTGGGCCTACTCCTCTTCACTGAGGTTTCCCCCTTTTCTTGGGGAGCATCCCTGAATGACAATTTTACCATCTGGCACAAGGAGCCAAGATGAGTTCTCTCTCCATATCCATGCACTCAAACTTCCAGTAGATTGTTGGATATGATACCATTATTAGTACTTCTAGTGGATCTTTTCATTCTGACAATTTCACTTTTAAACACTGGGCATTTCTTATTGAGCCAATTCTCAGTGGGTTGGTTTCCTTGCCTGCCATGTACTGAGTGATATGAACCAGGTTGCAGATGCCTCTCTTGCCCAGATCATGTTCTGCCCACAGAATAGTCTCTTCTCCTCAATGGAAAACTGGGGACTCCACTCACTGTTACCTTGCCAACTCTCTCAGTTTCATTCTTCTTCTCACCTTATCTGTTCTCCATCCCTCAGCCCTGCTGTCATTGCCTTCCACTAGGTCTGGTCTTATACTTGTCAAAATGCTCACCCACCTTTCCATCTTTTACCTCGAGTCCTCGCTTTGACTCAAGACACTCCTTTTGATGTCCTCTTGGTGATACTCCTCTGGCTGGCTTAAACCTGTGTTCCCTCTTCTGTGCCACCTGACAACCCAATCCCCTCTTTTTTTCTGCCAAGTATATACTATTGCTTCAACATCTCGTCTTCTTTCCATCAAGGAATCTTGTCCTTCCACCTTCACATTTGGATTTGTCCAGTCCATAGTTCATTGAACCAGACTTTCCAATCTTGTAATCTTTACCTTTCCCATTCCTTGTGTCCTTCTACCTGGTTCATCTACCTGTATAAGGTGCATGGCTTTCGATGTTAGTTCATCTGTCGCCACCTTCCTTCTGATCGTCCTAACATTGGACATCATCCTTTCTTTTACCTAGCAGTTCAGCAGGGTACATGTGTATCCATTGCCAGTTATCAGGTGGCTTTGTCTTCAACACTTCACCTTTCTCGATATTACAGGGAGTTTTCTTCCCAGTTCTCTCTGCCTTGTTCTGGTCTTTTTTTATCCAAAGACACACTTTTCCTGTTCCAATGCCTGACTGAGATCTCAGTGTCATCCTGCATGATCTTACCTTTGCTTTCTGAGTCATTGGCAACTTGCAACTACTTTTCTCTTCCGAAATATTCTTCTTACTTCTCGCCAGTGGTCACTGTCATTCAGATCTTTATGCTGTTGACTCATCCCACACCCCTTTTCATCATTCTTATATTATTATTTCTGAGGCCACTGCTTTGCTAGGTCTTAAGGTGTAACCAGATAACTCCCATTCTGACCATTGTATCTGATATTAAACTATTTCAGTTCAACCTAAAATGTATTGTTTATAACACTTTGCTTGCTCTAAATTTTTGTATAAACATATTTTTTAATCAACAAAATGAAAGTTTGTGTAAGTTTTGTAAAATATTTCATTGCTACTTATTTAATATTTGCTATGAAAATAGCAAGCAAGAATTTAATTTAACTTAGAATTACCAACGAAGACCTTTATGGAACTTATTGGCTTTATAGACTAAACTCTTTATCTACCAAATTTCTTGTAGCCTTGTTACAGGGTCCACTGTAAATATGAGTAACAAAAAAACAACAACAACAACAACATAAATATTGCATTTAATCACACTAATCACTGCTCTAGTTCCTCTGTGTATTTTACAAAGAAAATGTGATTTCACCCTATTGGTTTGGTTGGTCATTTGTTTACTGTGAGTGTTATAACATTAAACTACTCAATATGATACAGTGTGTGAACCTCATCAGTAGTGGTCAGCATAAATACAAGTCAGTCATGTGAGAGTTAAAGTCAAACATTTAACTGAAACTTGCAGAATTCAAAACTCCAATAACATTGACAATTAAAGCATCTGTGTGATAGGCAGTGCTATGTGGTTGAAACCTCCCTCATCACAACCACCACTTCAACTAAATTTGTGACAGTTACAGTTATGACTTTGTTTCAGTATGTACATGGAATATTTATGTATGTATGTGTGTATACAGTTAAAGTTATTCAAAAACAACTTACTGTATTTTGTGTAAAGTTATTTCTGTAAAGTTACAGAGTCATTAAATATATTCAACATTGCCTATTTTATTTACAAGTCAAATATTATATATTAGATCAAGATCCACCAGATATAGCTTTTCAACCACATGGATATCTGTTTCTGGCAACTGAGGATGGGGCTGCACAGATGGAGGCGAACCACAAACTTCAAGTGTATGTGATATAATCCTGATTTTAAAAAAATATTTTATAAGTCAAGTTTGCTTATGAATGCATTTCATTTTTTGTGTCATGAATGTCATCCTTGTCAAAAAACTTGTCATGACTTGTTTTACTTCAGTTGTTCTTTTCTCAAGTGTGCAGAGTTAAAATCAAGCATATTAACTGCAACTTGCATAATTCATAAATCCAACAACTTGTGCAATTAAAGCACTTGTATTCAAATTTGATGATGAGGAACCCACTTTGAGACTAATAATGCTTGGATATGGCTTTAATGGGTAATGAAGAAAAACTATAATATAAGTTTAACATAACGGCAAATGTACAACGTTTCGACCTGATGATGACAAAACCTTGTCAAAACGTTGTATATTTTTTTTGTCAGTATAAATACAGTCCTGGTTTGATGTGTTGATTATATCAATATTAGGAAGCCATTACTCTAATATGCTGGCACTATAGCAATCTTTATATTGTTTAACAATTAATTCTGAGTACTTATTATAGTTCCTAACACTGTACTTGTAATGTCTTTCCTGCTTTGTCCTTCATGTACTTGTTATCCTGTGATGCATATTTATTACTTTCTTCACATACTTCCTATTCTGTGATGCATATTTACTACTTTCTTCATGTACTTCCTATGCTGTGATGCATATTTACTACTTCCTATGTGTACTTCCTATCCTGTGATGCATATTTACTAACTCCTACATATACTTATCCTGTGATACATATTTACTACTTTCTATATGTACTTCCTATCCTGTGATGCATATTTACTACTTCCTATATGTACTTCCTGTCCTGTGATGCATATTTTCTACTTCCTATATGTACTTCCTATCCTGTGATGCATATTTACTACTTTATACATGCACTTCATATCCTCTTATGGATATTTACTACTTCCTTTATGTACTTCCTATCCTGTGATGCATATTTACCACTTTATACATGCACTTCATATCCTTTTATGGATATTTACTACTTCCTATATGTACTTCCTATCCTGTGATGCATATTTACTACTTCCTCTATGTACTTTCTATCCTGTGATACATATTTACCAACTCCCACATGTACTTGTTATCCTGTGATGCATATTTACTACTTCATGCATGCACTTCCTATCCTATTACGGATATTTACTACCTCCTATCCTCTTATGGATATTTACTACTTCCTATCATGTGATGCATATTTATTACTTTTGTTCATGAACAATTCAGTAAATTAAGTCCCGTGTTGTGTAATGTTCAACCTTGTGAAATGTGATCAGTTTCAGAATTATCAATGTGTAATTTAATTGTTTATTTCTTTATCAGTCTATAATGAAATGCTATTACACCATACCCATTAGAATGCCTTGTCACATTCATTACTCTTGGTTGCTATAAACCACAAGGCTTGGCATTTCAGATATAAATGACAGTTCCATTAAGATTCTTTGTTACAATGTAAGCTATATCCTGTCACCATTTCTATCACATTTAATTCCTTTGTCTTTGTAATGATATATAAGCTATGGATTGCCTAGTAGTGATCACACCTGAAGAAGACAGACCAATCATGTGTCGAAACATGTAGTATGTCCCACCATCAATAAAACTTTTCCTTATGTTTATAAATCGTTGTTTTCCTACCTATTATTAAGCTGTTCAGTTTGATGAGGATGGTATTGAGCAAAAGGCCTTATTGACAGTGGTATACAAAGAACTATAGTGTTATTTACCCTTTCTTCTAGTATTGGGCCACTATATTAATATGTCAATTTGTTAACAGTCCTATTGTGATGTCTGAAAATAAAGGAAGTAGTAGAGCAGTCATAGCACACGGAAATATACCTTCAAGCAATGTTAATGATTTTCTAGTATTGTTACTGTTGAATGTATGTGTAAGGAAGTTCGTAATATAAACTTCTCTTTGTTAGTATTTTTCATAGCACTGATTGATGACAGAAATATTTTCTCCTCCTTAGTTGAATTAACAGAAATGTAAGGAATAGGCAATTTTTTACCTACTTAAATCTTATAAACCTCCAATCTTCTGGGAGTTTTGCTCCTTGTACCCTGCTGGGGCTCTTTAGTTGGTTCCAGACCTCACAGCTTTATATGACTGAACCTCCCACAATAAATTTATATGATTGCCAGCTGCCAAGGTTACTGTGCTACTCTCTGTAATTCCTCCCTGAAATTACTTCTTTAGTGTTCTTAGATGATGTCTTAGCCTTTCCCACCTCCTCTTTGTTTTGTTTTTTGTTCTCCACATCCTTCTTCTCTTTATAACAGGTGACTTACTCTTGTTCTACCTCTTTTTGAATCTTAAACTTCTTATATTTTGAAATTTGGTCGTGAACATTCTTATTTATGACTGATGGTTAAACTTTACATGATTTATATTTTGGATAGAACTTGCCAGTCTCTGTTCTAAATGTCTCTTTTGGCTATGTTGTACTGAAGAAATATTTCAGGTTCAAAATATTAAAATATTCACTATTTTGTTTCACTCTACCAGTATTCAGTGTATTTTTAAAGACTTTGTGAATGCTATTTGTCTGTTAAACAATTATATTCACATGTGATAGTCTTGACTAGGAATGTTTGAAGTGTTAATTACATATACTTCTTTAAGTTTAAACGTTACTGTTGATCTACATTTTGATTCCATCTTATAAAACTATTCAGATTAAAATTTTTATTATTTTCTTTGTCTACATTAATCAGTGAACTTGGTGCCAAGATAGATTTGCTGTCTCCATCGAAGCTGAAAGAGAAGTTCCCCTGGATACGCACAGATGGGATAGCACTAGCTTCTCATGGTACTTAAACTTAATAATAAAATTTTATCCTGGTATATCAAATCGAGAGCTCAGAAACAGGTTTTTTAAAATAATACATGTATGTAATTCAACAAAACAAAAAATAATTATAAAATAGAGCTGACTATTCATCAGGAGTAAAACATCACAGTGTCTTGAACATTTTCAACACTATTTCAAGGAAGGTTAAACTGTTGGAAATTATACAGTTGCATGCATTTTGCATTTCTTAAAAAATGTACATTCCCATCAATTAAAAAAATTTAAATCACACACACAATATAGGAGTGATGATTTATAGGGAAAAGAATCTTATTTGGTCTAACCCAATATATGAAATGCAGTGTTATACACTATTTCCTTTGCATGCATGTTCTCAATTTTATGTCATCATGTAATAAGAATATTTAGGTTTCTCAGCTGAAAATATTATATGCAGTATAAGATATTTAGATATATGAGTGTTATTGGATTTTAGCCACAAAATGTGAAAAAATTAAGATTGATTTTCTTTTTTTTTTGTATTTGGGGGAAAGAACTGTAAATTTAAAAGCATTAGTCATGTTTGCAAATTTTGTAATAAGCTTATAGCACATGTAAGTTCTGGCATTAACTAGTTTCATCATTAAAGAACAAAAGTTGTAGCATTTGGTATAATTTTTCAGATTGTATGAATTTAATGCACTTAGTGATTAATAAAATTTGCAGATGACTCAAATGTGTAATGAATAAAATTTTGTGATAAGTTTGACATAGTAACAAATGTACAATATTCCGAAACAATATTACCTCTTCTCATCCTTCTTCTTGACCTTGGTTTGCCCTCTCAGCATTGCTAAAAAATTTATTGTTAACAGTGCACTGGTCTTTTATACCCTTCATTTTTGTGCCATTTCAGAACTTGTGCTGATCATGTGACTACCTTTCACCAATCATACTGTGCCATCTATACTAGCACGGATAGCTCCCTCTACTATTCTAGCACAATCCGTACTTCCTGATTGGTATTTTATTGTATAAACGAGTGTTTTAATCCGCTCTCCATGTGACTACAAATATTTGATTATGCTTGATCACTAATTTATATCAGTTTCAACTTCTTGTGTTTGATTTCCATTGTTTCTGCTTGTTTGTTTTAGAAATATTTCTGTTTTCTGAATTCTAATTTGTTCACATGAATTCGAGATTTAATATGGTGGATGATTAATCTCCCGCTATAGTAGCCAATGGTTCTGACACGAGTCTGTAGGTCCCAGGGTCAAAGATATCTACTGGAGAAGCACAAGCTTTAGTCCATTGGCATGGCTTTGTCTGGTTCCTTGCCTCAGCTCAGGGACTCCCACCTTGTGTAATGTCTTTTCTTGTCCATACCATTTGCCCTTCCCCCCTTGTCTATGTACCAGAGGCCTTGGTCCTTCTTCAGACTTTGGCCCAATCACTTGTTTCTGACCATCCTGTCCTTCTGTTCCTCACCTGTCCTAGTTCTTTACCTTGTTATTTGATCAGAGTTTGTCCATTTCAACTGTTGCTCATTATAGGACTACTCTGTCAAACACCTTTCATTCTGCCGCTTCCAGAAAAACCTTCTCCTCCCCAGTTATTTCCCTCCTTTTTCATTCCTTTCTTATGTTCTGTCAGATTAGGATCTCAGTGTTGTCCTTCACTCCCTGTCTAGTTCTCCCTTTGAACACATTGCAATGTGTTCCTTGTACCATCTTACCCTTCAGACCTATTTCCTCCTCCTCCTGGCATGAGGTCATGGTCATTCCTACATTTATGCCCTTAATGATTCTCGCATCCTTTACCATTCCTCATATGTTATCCTCTATCCAGATCAGGCCTTCCTTCCCAGGACATTGGCTGCTTGGGAAAGTTGTTTAGCCTTTTCTCTTATATTCTTCCCTTCAATTTCCCACCTGTTTTCCCATTTAGATTCAGATCGACTATTTTGTTCAGTTCATTCCCTGCTATGTTATGTGGCTTGTACTGCCTCCTTTCAGAGTTGTCATTCCTGTCTGTTTGTTCCATGGAATTCATTTGTTTCCCATAATCTATCATGTATTACACTCTCTTGGTTGGTGTATCAACTCATAGGACTAGTGTATTCTGGCATGTCCATGGAAGGTCACCATCTACATAATGTTTATTTGCACCAGATTCATAATTTCACTATGTCCTTAGCTGCTTGCAAGAACTAGCATGAGCTTGAGCAAACATATGTTGCACATGCTATCTGGACATTCAGAAATGCCACAGGCTAGAGTAGGGGGAAGGGGCCTGTGGTCAGCCATGATTATAAGGCAACTATGAATTTTACAGCCTAATTATTAATAAAAAAAACATTGCCTTGTAATCAGGCCAATATGGTACCTCATATTTCAGGAACCCACCTGGTAGCGAGTGTTGCCTTTTCAGGTATGTTTAATATTATATTCACTCTAAATCTGTATACTTCTCACTGTTGAGATGGAATGTTTCTGTAAGACCACTGGCCACTTATTCAATGGTGTGAGTGTTTGTGTATATATGTATTTTTATTATTATTACCGTTTCATATATAAAGGACCATCTCTCGTGGACTTCATGAGTAAAGCAGATGGGGATTTTTGCCTCCAGTCATTTCTCCAGACCTCCTCCCAATGTGTATTCTCCCCCTTTGCTTCTAATGGAGCACGGGATTCCTTGCCACTTCCGGTTCCTAGTCACTTGAGTGGGGTTTGTACAATAACCTAAATCAAACTTCATAGCTCAGATATACCCACTCAGTGAGAAGAGAGCTATCTTCATTATACTTATTGATTATGCAATGTCATAATATTTTCGATCAAAGGAGTTTCCCCCAGATGTTTTTGCCTGGGTTGACCTAACTTATTGATCACAAAATAAACTTATTATGCAAGGTGCTTCCACTAGATGTTTTCTACCCAGATAGACCGCACTTGGCATAATACGATGTATCCCAAGGTGCTTCTTCTGGATATTTTTGTCTGGCCAGACTGCTCTTGTTGATCTTACAAGCTAATGCAAGGCACTACCACTGGATGTTTTTGCCCGGATGGACTGCACTTTGCATAATCCAATATATCTCAAGGCACTTTCTCTGGATGTTTTTTGCCCAGGCAGACAGCACTTGGCCTATTCATATGTAATTTACAGTCCTTTAGCCCTAGCCACATATTCTTATATCATGTTATCAGGCACGTTACTATGATGAACTATCCTGTGTTCCATGCTAACACTTGTTACATATGTGGACGAATTATGCATTATCTGTAGACAATGGGATGATTCTGAATTACCTGACCCTTTCTCATCAAACTACTTATTCAAGGCATTTCCCCTGGATTTTTTTTTTGACAAGGAGGATCGCTCTTGTTGCTTACAATATCCTAGACAAGGTATTATGTTGTGCTTGGTTGGACAGCATTTGACATGCTCCAATGCGCCCCAAGACTATCCTTGGCACATATTTATTAGGCTCATTGTTGATTATACACAAGACATTCCATTTTCGTCCACGTTGTGTTGTTTCACATCATAGTTATACAGTTCTGTGCACCTCTTTCTTAAAGCTACGGTGCCTACCTGTTACATTCCGCCCTATATGTATTACTGTGTTCGTTACTGGGCAAAGACCATATCTGTTCCAGAAGTAGTGCTATACCCCACAGGTGTGCCTTATTATAGTACACCTGCTCTTTCAAGGCAGTTGCTCTCCACTTGATTGAATACTGTTGCGCCTTTAGTGGCCCCTCCACCTTTTCAATGTGGTATTCTAGCTTTTAGTGAGAAGAGTTAGTACTGTTTCAGAAGTTAACATTTTCTTAAACTGAAAATGTATTTCCAACAGGTACTTACCTCCACTCATCCACTTCCAATTCTTCCTCCCCACTGATATGTCAGCATTTCTAGTTTGTATCTGCCAATTCTCGAAAGTGAGGATTGTGGTAGAATAGTATAGATGGTGCGGCATGATTGGTGGAGGTTAGTCACGTGATCAGCACATGTTCTGAAATGGTGCAAAAATGAAGAGGTATAAAAGACTGGTGCACTGTTAGTGATAACATTTTTAGCAATGCTAAGAGGGCAAAGCAAGGTCGAGATGAGGTAAGTACCTATTGGAAATACATTTTCAGAGTAAGAAAATGTTAACTTTCAAAGATTTTGTCATCATCAGGTACATGCTTGAATGAGCAAAGAAATTTGCTGAATGAAATGTAAAAATAAATGTATATATAAATGTGAAATGGTTTAAAACTTATTAAATATAAAAAATTAAACCTTATTAAGAATTTAAAAAGTCTGATTTCCTTTAATTTTGTTTTTTATTGATCATAATCACAGCAAAACTGCATATGGTATTTTTTGATTCAGAACAAAAATATATAGTAATTCAAATCTATGATACAGATAAACATTTACATTTTTTCTTATGAAAACATTACAATGAAATCTTTTTGGGGGGGGGTTCATATATCACATATAAAAATGAAATGTTTTATTTGCAGAAGCTATGTAATCTAGAAAATTCATCTGAGGTTTCAAACTATTTTGTCCAGTAGCTCATTTTTATAATGCAATAAAAGAAATTATATAACAGTTGATTGAATTGATGCACTCAGGTTTTTGAGTGTTAAAGCAAAGTGCCCATATTAATACAGAGAACAACTGGTAACAATAGCTGGGACAAACTGAAATGATATCAACTTTCATGAAAAATGTTCAGTGACACCTCTTGTCACTTACAGTACATAACTCATAGTAAATTAATATAATTTAGGCCTGGAAAATGAAGGATGGTTTGATCCATGGTCACTGCTTTCAGCATTCAAGAGGAAAGCTATTTCTCTAGGGGCTCAGTATGTTGATGGTGAAGTTATAAATTTTGAATTTGATAAAGAACATGAAAAAATCATTGAAGAATCAGATGACCCATACTATAGTGTGAACCATCTCTTGGTTAGTACAGCAATTTCATTGTTATTAGATTTGCCATTTCTTAATTTTGTTTTTATTAACTATAAAAACCTATATTTGGGCAACAGGGATGCCCATGATATTTTTATCAGCAATTCTATGATCTGTAGTGTATTCCGTGTGATTATAGAATGTTTAATTATTGGCATTTTGAAATGAAACGAGGGTGAAACAGATTTTTATTAACATTTCAATACAAAGTTATTATATATTGTTCTATAATTCTTTTTAAAAGATTGGAATTGAATTACACTTGGAGTTTTTATATTTATACAACTCAAGTAAAATGTGTTAATTTATAAACTTGCTAAAATAAAAGTAAGTGTTGATATATGCTATAATATATTTCCCTAAAAAACCTTTAAATTTACCTAAAACGCTGATATTTATTGAAAGGTTGTTTGTTTAAATAATTTTGAGTTTGATGTTTATTTCTTAAGTCTGATCCACCAGACAACAAAAAAGTAATATGGTTACTATAACTTTATGGATGTTTGTGTGTGTTTTCTTATAGCAAAGCCACATCGGGCTATCTGCTGTGTCCACTGAGGGGAATCAAACCCCTAATTTTAGCATTGTAAATCCGAAGACTTACCGCTGTCCCACAGTGGGGCTTAATGGATGTTAAAGATGATTATTTAAATAGTGTAATAATTTTCTTTGTAAAATTACATGTTTTATTTTTCGAAATCTCTAAGAAAAAAAAATTTACAAGAACAGGATCCTGTGTTATGCAATCATGGTTCTTAATATTGAAAACTTTTAATTAATGATCACAACAAAAAGCTGTTTAGGCCTAGCATAATAAACATGATCTTAAACTCTGAAATTTACTCAGCTTGTCATTCAGTCTAAAAGTAACGCATTTCAAGTTGTTATTTTTATATCTAGGCTCATCAACATTTCAGACTATCTTGTGCAGATTGTAGCCTTTTTTTAAATTGTTTTTGTACAAAATAAATGTTTAATAACACTTTCAAAATTCACTGCACCTGTAAGAATTAATGGAAGTTGTCATTTGAATTAGTTAAGCAGAAAACTATAAACATAAACCAGTTTTTGGTTTATTCTTATTGGCTCACAAATATCAGGACTTTACTTTTCATGTAACTTTTTTTTTGTTATTTGAAATACTGAATATCTTAAATAGGCAAAATAACACAAAACATAAAACTTTACTTAGTTTATTAACCATTGCTATTTGAAAACCAATCAAATGATAAATATTCAAATACGAGTCAGGCTCGAGCTAATTTTGTAATTATGTAAACTTCCACTTTAAATGGAAAGTCAAATTTTGAATGTATCATGCCCAAAGGGAAAGCAGGAAGGGTTAAGTACTGAAAAGAGATAGGGGGGTTTTGATAAATCACTTCTGCTGGTGATGTAGTACAGTTAATAACTGCCTGATTTCTCTCTCTTTTTACTACTATAGTTGTTTTTATTCTGTTGGAAATATCAGATTTTATTTTTACGCTAATTTTGGTAATATCAGGTTAAAACAAAGACAGGAGATATAAAGAAAATTAAGTTTGCTGTACTCATTGTTGCTGCTGGACCTAGTACAGGACAGGTTGCAAAAATGTTGAGAATAGGAACTGGACCAGGTATATTGAAGCCTCCACTTCCTGTAGAACCCAGGTAATTTATGTTGAGAATTTTTCATGTATTGTAAGATAAATATCTGTTTTATGAAGAATTTGAAATTAACAAATCTTGTGAAAATTCTCTACTTATTGCAAAGTGAGTTCAAATTATAAGAAATATAATAAAATTCCCCTCAGCTGTCAGTTGTTTTTTCTTTCTTTTGTTTTTTTTAATGGGTAACTTCTTGCATATGGTAACAAAGTGCAAAAATATAATTAGTTTTTCCAAAGACATTTTAAGTCAAAATGTCTGTGTTTATGAATGGGCACCAATTACAAATATTCTATATTTTGAAAGTTTTAAAATGTTAAAAAAATATGATTAAAATCTAAGAATATGTAGTTTTGATAATTCTTATAGGTTTATATGTCATGAACCAAAAACTAATCTTCAGTAGATTGGAATCAAGCAATCTTTCCCAGAGTTAGTTTAATTATGTAAAAGTTTACTACTTTTCATACCATTATTTTAATTTTTCTTTGAGATAATTGGGTTATATTTGTTCTTAAAACTTTACAAAAATATGTTTCATCTTGAATAATATACAAGACAGTAGGGATGGCATTTGCATCAAACTCAATTGTGATTGAATTGTTATATATATTGCTATATGTTAATTCTTGCCTATACTATTATGTAGGAATGATGCATGTTACATCTCTACTATCTTGTTTACATTCTCTTTGAAGGATTGATATCAGCCATCCCTACATTTACTTCCTTTTTTGAAGTTTTTTCTTTACTTGTTTGCTTGTTTTTTTTAATACAATGTTTCAATAGACACAGGAATATTGTATTTATAATTAAGTTCTAAATACAATGAGGTTCCAGCAGTAATATTTATTGTTTATCTATTAATGGCTAGTAATTCCTGTTTCACCCTATACTTAAGATTTTTGAAGAAACACCACATTGCTGTAAGAAAGCTAATTTCAAGGGGTAATGATAACATCTCTTACACTAAAATTATGACTTTTTTAAAATTAATACTAGTTAATAATACCTATAAAAGCGGATACTCCATTTGAAACTATGTCACCTCAGTGAAATTATTTGACACCATTGTTTCGGTTTTTGAGTTATGCAATAAAATATAAGCAGAAGAAAGAACAAAAAATTCAAACTTTTTTATGATATTTACAGACATTCTCAGAACTTGTGACTCAGTCATTAAATAGATATTGTTATAAAAGAAAACACTGTATAGTATTGTAAAGTTCTGATGGCCTATTAAGAAGATATTTAAAATACCATTGTGATGAATAATCTGAGCCATTCCTACATAGGCAGTGCTAACAGCTGCTTGATAAAGCTTTTAATCTTTAGATGTGGACTTAATGAATATATAAATAATTAAATATTAATATTACTTTAACATTTTGTGTTTTCTTGAGTTTATAAACTGTTAATTTTAAGAAAATTAAACCAGCTGTGTACTCTAGAATACGAAAATGTGGATTACTTTGTGTTATCTTAGAATGTGTGGAGTTTATGGCAATAAGATAAGTATTTATTGTTTGAGGAAAGGTATCTGAAAAGTAGATAATTAATATGATACCAGATAATTATTGGGAAGAACATATTTTGTATTTTGTTTTTGAAAAACCGTTGCTAGTAAATATGGCAAAATTATATACTGTCATCAAGAAATTAATATATATAGGTCATCAAGAAATTAATGTTGCATTTTGGAATACTTTCATTAACTAATCCCCCAAAAACGTACATCACGTATAATAGTCAAACGAACTGCCTAAATGTCATGTTAGTGTAGCTTGTATAATGTGTGAAGTTTAGTATACTCTAATCCCTTCTGGTGATGGAACATAACGAGACACACACATACGGCATGTAATGCTGTTTGAATACAATAAGGGAAAAAATGCCTCTGGAGCCACAAAGAATACCAAAGAAGTTTATGGAAATGTTTTGAGCATTTGTAAGTGTCAACAATGGTTCAGCAAATTTTGTTCAGGTGACTTTAGCCTCAAAAACTGTGATGGTGGGGGCTGACATGTTGGAATGGATATTGATGCTCTGATGACACTTGTTAACTCTAACCCAAGGCAACACACTCGTGAAATGGCCCCGAAATTGAAAGTCTCTCATGAAACAATATATAAACATCTAAGGAATATGAGAAACTCCATAAAGAAGGTGTTTGGGTGCCTCACGAACTCTCCAATGATCATTGTTTTTAACGTGTGAATGTTGCTTCATCTCTTCTGGTGCGTAATGCTTGTGAATCATTTTTGGACAGAGCATCTAAGGAATATGGGAAACTCCATAAAGAAGGTGTTTGGGTGCCTCACGAACTCTCCAATGATCATCGTTTTTAACGTGTGAATGCTGCTTTGTCTCTTCTGGTGCGTAATGCTCGTGAACCATTTTTGGACAGAGTTGTCACCGGTGATGAAAAATGGATTCTATATGCAAATATTAAACACTAAAAACAATGGCACAGTCCTAGACAAAAACCACTTCCAACTCCAAAACCTGGACTCCATCCACAGAAAGTGATGCTTTGCATTTGGTGGGAGATCAAAGGAGTAATTCATGTCGAACTCCTCAATCCACAGCGATCTGTCAAGGATTCTATATTGCAAATATT